TAAATAAATATATAATATATATATAAATAAATATATATAATATATATATAAATAAATATATATAATATATATAAATATATATATATACAAGATGAAAGGAAAAATATACGAAAATACATGCACAACATACAGTAAAAGCTTAATACAACAAGTGTGACAAATTACAAGAAGTCAGTTATTTCACCAAATTTCAAAGTCAACATCATAAAAATGCTAATATCAAAGATAAGAAAATTTTATGTTTATTTGAAGTTAAAAAGCCCTAGCTTTCCACTATAAAAATTTTTTTTTTAGGGAAATGCATATTTCTGTTTTTCAAGTGAGAAATCTTATATGGAAAAGGTCTAAATGCAAGACATTTTTTACTTATTTTTGATATCAATACATAACAGTAAAAATAGTTTCCTTTTCACAATTGTAACCATTTATTTATTTTTATAAAGCAATGTGTGAGTAACCACCAGTTAAATAATCTTTTTCCCAAGAAAAGAGAAGTTTTTCTTTTTTTAAATCTTACCACACACTTAAAAAACTGTCTCTTGTTGATGCCTCCTCCCCTATTTTGCTTATCAAGGATATCAAACGTTATTGTATTTAATTTTCTTCCTGCAAAAACTTGTTACAATTTTGTTGTTTTTTTTACATTGATGTTATAGATATTTCTACCTTTCATAAAGTCCGCATATAAGTAATTCAGTCTATAAACAGTAGGCAAAAGCTGCCTATCTAGATAGGCATTTTAAATCAAAAAAGTTTTTTAAAATAATATATACATAGATGGCAACACAGATAGGAAAAAATCCAGTACAATGTAAATTTAACTATGACAATATAAATTTCATGATAACTGTTCCATAATATTTTAAGTATTTTTCATATAGGGAAATTAGGGAATTTGAAATGGCTTTTTTTATTATGTTAACTTTTAATTTTAAGTAGTATAAAATAAATCATTATCGACAAGTAAATCATTATTGATGTTTAAGAGATTTTATAATCAATTAAAAGTGTAAAAAGTAAAAATAAGCTGAAATTTTTAGAACAAAGAAAAAGAAAAGCTTTGAACTGATTACTATAAGTGAGGTCCGTTTCATTATGCACTAGTAATATATACATAATTAGATATTCAAGCAAGCGATAAGTTGTGTAAAAATTCTATTCCAATAAGGATTTTTTTCAAAAACTTACTCCATTATAGAGAATTTTCTAAAATGTACAAAAACTAGGAGAATTTTAATTATATCAGGAGAAAATGGCAAAATCCAGTAGTCTACTGGTAAATCCAGGAGAGTTGGCAGCTATGTATATAATATGAAACAACCAAGTGTATTTCATTTTTAGTCTTTATATTAATCTTTCAACATTAAATGTGGTGCACTTGCTTTAAGCTAAATAAGTAAATAAATAATAAAAAAAACCATACAAAATTTTATTGGAAAAAAAAAAGACACTTCACAAAATTTTTCATTCTAAAAATATGAATAATATTGATTTCAATTTTACTTCTTGTAATCGTTTGAACCTTGAATAACTTTTGATCTAATAGATCTTCATGTTTTAAGACTCAATCTTAATGGTTCAAAAAGCTAATGTGCTAACAATTAGCTCAAATATTCTAAGTCATTAAGTGTTGATGATATTTTCAGATACAAAATCAGACACAAAAACATACTTTATCAAAATAAACACTGCTTTTTTGACCCCCAAAATATAGGGTATTTTTAAATTAGGGGCGCACAACCTGCCACCCGAAGGGCCACATGCGGCTGCGGGAGCTCCTGAAAGCAATAATTTTCTTTTTGAAAAGTAAAAATTTAGAATCTTTTTAATTTCTCTTCACAGAATATTGAATCATAATACGTATAGTTAAGTTTTAATTTTTGCTTAAGCCCTATAATTTTTTTTAAAATATTTAGTTAAAATTTATATTACTCCTTATTCATTTATTCTATGAGCATTATACTTTTTTTTTTTGTTAGAGTTTATAGCATCTCTTTTCCTCAAATATATATATATACCCAGAAGCAGAAAGTGCCTAAAACTGTGACGTGCGTCGCAGAACAATTTGCATCTTGAAAAAGGGACGATGATTTCCTGCAAGCCCAAACCCTTACCCGGCCACCTGCCTCCGGTAGTCTTGCAGAACAATCCCCAACCCTAATCTCATACATTCTTCAACAGGTTTTTAAGGCAGCCCTTATTTTAATGTTCGAACCTTCATTTTATTAATAATTAGGCATTTTATTAATAATTCATTATTATCGTCATTAACAAAATTTTGTACTTCAAAAGTGATTGGAAAATTGACAAATCAAGAATGTTTGCCTTGGTTAAAAAAATAATGTTGTGTATCTGTGTATGATCCTGTATTTTAATAAATGAAAATATAGTATTTTAACGTAAAGTTGACTTTTTTTCGCTGTGAAATGCTTGCAGAACATTTGAAAATATTCTGCTTATGGGTATATATATATATGTATATAGTTGAATGAATTTTAATAACTGAAGTATTTAATTTTAGGAAAATATGTTACTAAATTTACCGATAAATGTATTTATTGTTCTGAGCACCAATTTTGAGATAAAAATTATTATATTTGCTACCGACATGACTAAATATGTGTGCGGCCTTTCTTTAGTCAACCTGCTGTGCAAGTGGCTCTTCACTCAAAAAGATTGCACACCCCTATTTTAAATGAATTAAAAAAATTTTACGCACAATTATTCAATTGGTTTATCCAAAGATAATTTCAAGCAAAAATAATTTTCAGTAAAAATTTATTACTTTTTGTTGTTTTACTTAAAAAAAGTAGAAAAAAAATTTGAAAATAAAGGTTTAAAATTTGTTCACCATTTTAAAGAATGAAATTTTACATGAAAAAATTCTAAATTTGAGTAAAATCAGTCGAATAGCTCTTGAGAAATCGGATTTTAAACATAAGACTTTTCCAAAAGTCGATTTCTCGGGAGCTATTCGATCGATTTCGATAAAACTTAGTATTTGGCTCCTTAAAATGGCATTCTTTAAAATTATCAGGGATGAGATTAGCCAAAACGCAAAAAAGCTGAATTTCTACGATGGTAAATTTTACACAAGCACAACCCTTTAATAATAAATTCCA